TCCTCATGATGAGGTTGTTGAGCTCGCCAACAAAGCTTTATTAGACTGGTTATCATCTTTAGAATAAAGTTTTGAGTTGATATAATTACGCAGAGAACTGATGTTTTAAAGATGTTGTTCATATAATACAACATGCTTATCTCTTGTAAGTATCATATACATAACACATTTTGTGATTGATTTGAATCTGATGTAATTCTCAAGATCTTTTCTGCGAATTTTTTTAACTAAAGTTTAAGTTTATTTAATTACACGGGGGAGTGATGTTTTGTATGATATTGTTCATATAATGTAGCATATGCATCTTTTGTAAGTGCATCATGTGCATAACAAATTTTCTGGATTGATTTGAATCTTTACTTAGTTCTCAAGGATATTTTTCTTTGATATTGCTGTACTCATTGCTTGAAACTGCTCCTTACGCCGTTTGAATCTATTGGATGATAACAGGAAAAGTTTTGAGGTATAAGTTTAGTCTCTAAACCGCCCAACAGAATTCGGGTCGGTTTTTTTCGGGCGGTTTAGGGGTTCAAACCGGATCCAAACCGATTTAATTCGGTTCGGGCGGTTTAGAGGCTTCTTCTCATCCATTTTCAAACCGGATCCAAACCGATTTAATTCGGTTCGGGCGGTTTAGAGGCTTCTTCTCATCCATTTAATTCGGTTCGGTTAACCGGTCCGTTTTTTTGGACGATTTTTTCGGTTGAACTAGTTTTTTCGGTTTTTGCCCACCCCTAATGATGGATCTCTAACCGTATCTAATTCTCATGAAGTTATACAATTAAAGAATCAAAAACATAATCCTAACTTGGAGTTTGAGTTGATACCCAACAGGATTTACCCAAGGCAACTGTAGAATAAAAGGGAAGGAATAAATTATTGTTCCAGTAAAACTAAATTATGAATTGTGCAAGTAGTAATAACTAAACTATAAATCTAAAAATATATTTGTACTATTAGAAACAAGAGAAAAATATTTTTAAAGCTCTAAAAAAATTGTTCGGAAACTCAATTGAAATTTATCAGAGTTAGATTTCAATCCTTCATTGGCCAAAAAAAAGCCAGGTCATAATGGATTTATCCAAAACAACTTGTAGAATAGAAGGAAAGGAAGAATTTATTTCTTAGATAGGCAAAAGTTTAGTATAAGTTCTTAATGTATTAGCTAAATTTTATTTGAGTCATTAAACTTTGAAAGTCGTCAATGGAGATCCCTAACATTTTCTTGGTTATTAAATTAGGACATTTTAGAATTTTCTATTATATATTGCTGATGTGGTACTTTTTGTTATTTTTAATTTTATTTGCTGACTAGACTGTCTTTTCTCTCTCTTTTTTGATATGTTGCCCTCCACAAGTTTTAAAAATTATTAATAGCACCCTAAAAGTTTGAACATTATAAATATCATCCTAAAAATTTTCAAAAATTTTGTAGGGCTATTTGAAAATTTTTAGGGGATCACTTGTAGCTTCTGAAAATTTTTTGGGGCCTATTTGTAATGTTCAAAACTTCTATGGGTGTTGTTTGTAAATATTTTCAAGAGATTATTTATAATTTTTAAAACTTTCATTAGGTTGTTTATAAAATTTTTGAGGTTCTATTTTAAATTCAAGGGGCTATTGTTCTACTTTAAATTCAAGGGGCTATTTTTTATTTTCAAAGCTTTTGAGGTTTGTTTGTATTTTAGGGGCTTTTTGTTAATTTTAGGGCTTATTTGTAATTTTTAAAACTTTAAGGGGGTGGTTGTAATTTTCTTAGGAACTACCGACAGATTTTAAAAAATTTTAGGAGGTTATTTGTAATGTTCAAAACCTATATTACGTTGTTTATAATTTTTAAAAGTTGTAGGAGGCAGCATGGCAAAATAGAGAGCGAAGACAGTCCAGTCGGCAAATATAGTTAGGAATGACAAAAAAAAAAAGTTTTGCCACCACAGCAATAAATAACGGAATATTTGAAAAATGACATAAGTTGATGGCATATAATACTTTAGGAATTTCTGTTGATAGCTTTCAAAGTTAGAGACTCAAATGAAATTTAATTAATACATTAGGTATTTATACTGAACTTTTGTCTAAAATTAACTTGTGAATTGGCGTGAGTAGTAATAACATGACTATAAACTTCAGATTACATTTGTTCCGCTAGAAATAAAGGGAAAATAACTTTAAAACTCTAAAAAAAGTGCTCAGAAGCTCAACTGAAGTTTATCAGGGCAAATGCATCGATCCTTCAATGACGAAACAAAATAAAATAATAGAAAAAATAAAAAAAATGAAAGAAAATTAAAATAAAAAATAGTCCTGTAATAAGACATAATGGATTTACCCAAAAGGAACTTGTAGAATAGAAGGGAAGGAAGAAAATACTGCTCTGCTAAAATTGACTTGTGAATTGTGCGAGTAATAATAACTAGGATATAAACCTTAAAATGCACTCGTGCTACTAGAAATCGGAGAAAATCAAATGATGAGGTTCAATCCTGAGATCTGTGGGTCGTCGGCCGACCGCGCTTTCGCTGTGGTACGCTGATCTGATATTGTAACATCATCTACTTGGGCCGAATCTAACACTTTGGGCCAGCCCAGCGTTTGATAGGGTCCCGTGAACACGAGCCATGTCCAAAGTTAGACCTTGAATGCTCGAATCTGCCCAATGAAAGTTTTAGGAGCCCCCTGGAATTTGCATCCTTTCTTTTTTCTCCAAAATATAACAATTGTCTTCCTAAATTTTTTATCCTTCATAACTTTTGAATTTATAAGGATTTATATTCATAAAGATGCTGTTAGGTTTAATGTTGAACGTCGCCCGCCGAATACAAGTCTTCTCCTTTAGTTGGATTGAAACACATAAAGAAACTTTAAATTATAATTGTTTAGGTCAGAAAGTTAATTGCGTGAGTGAGAAGATATTTTTGGAGGAGTTTAGAGTCTTTTATTTTTTTTCTAATGACTAATTAATCTGAGGGGAGCAGATTTTTGCAGAGGTAACACTCGTTAGAGGTCCGGAGGAGATTTCCGTGGCGTGTCCTCCAATGTTCAAATCAGTGATAGATGAAGCATATTATTAGAATGCAGAATCTAGTTCAGAGTTTTGTCCAGCGTACGTTAGGGTAGTGAGGTTATCCATTATTTATAGATAATTTGTGGGGACACGTTGGTAATTCGACCCGATTGGTGGAGTCGGTCGATCAAACTTCATTTTACACACGGCAGTGGTCTGTTAAGCGAGTTAGCTTTTGCATTTAATGCGGCAATGACTGAATGGCGGAAGTGCAAGCGTCGTCTGAGGAGTCATTAGACGTCGGCTCGAGAAGCTATTATGACTTTGGCCATGCATTAATTGTGGTATAGTATGGGCGCTGACTGGCCATGCATTAAATGCACATATCATTGGTGAGGTTGATAGGTCATTCCATTGTTTGAAGAATTCTCTAGTGGACCCCGATCAAAAGATGTGTTCTGTCTCGGACTCTGATTTCTTTAATAGATCTTGACTTGAAGATGTTTTTTATCTTGGATTTAGACTACCAAAGAGTATCGACGGGGCTCGCACCTCGGTCAAACTTTTAAATTATAAAACTCAACCTGTTTAATATGACATGTGGCTAACTCTTAATGGTTTATTAAACTTGGTAATTCTCAGGATACAGTGATAGTACATGTGAATTCCATAGATTTAGGATAATAGGATTTATTGTTGTTGTATTTTACTTTCTCATGATGCCAGATAAAAGAAAAACCAACTATTTTAGAAGGAAATTTTGTTATATTAAAACCACAAATCTTTTTGAATTCTATATTAGATCCCCAAATTTTCATATTTCTATATTAGACCCCAAATCTATCAAGTTGTTCTAAATAAGACCTCCATGTCTACTAAGCTGTTATAAATAAGACCCTTTAAACCAAGTTTTCGATAGGATCCCCATCTCTAACCACTTTGATATTTGAGAGTCTAATTTAGAAGTTATAAAGATTTGAGGGTTTAATAGAAATTACTAACAAAGATTTTGGGGTCTATATGAAAAACAATTGAAAATAGTAGATGGCTTATTTAGAATATGATGGTTCAATTTTATGAAGAAAGATGAAATTATTATTTACTACTCTTCACGGCACAATCTTCGCATTCAATACATTAGCTTCAAATGGACCACCTTGTCCTTAGTTACCTAGTACTGAGTCTATTATATATTTTGTGTATATAGATGGCTTATTTAGAATATGATAGTTTAGTTTTATGAAGAAAGATGGAATTATTATTTACCACTCTTCACGGCGCAATCTTCGCATTCAATGCATTAGCTTCAAATGGACCACCTTGTTCTTAGTTACCTAGTACTGACTCTATTATGTATTTTGTGTATATATGCAAGAGTCATGTGACTGTTCCTTTGCAATTATGTTCTCGTGTTGACTAGCTAAAAGAGAAAATTTTGCTTAGACCATCTCCAAGGCAGCGGCAAAATGCAGTAAAAAGTGTATTTGCCGCTGCGTTTGAGCTCCAACCCATCGGCAATTTTCGCTACATTTTAGCGGTGATGAACAGCGCGACGTCATATTTAACATCACACTGTTCATCGCCGCATATATTACTATTTTTTTATTTTTTATTTTTTTATTTTTACCTCATACTTTTATGTATTTACAATTTGACCCCAATTGTTTTATTAAATGTATAAAACAACCACAATAATATTTAAATTTTATAATTTTACCACAATTGTATAATTTAGATAAAATAAATTATTTTTTAAAAATAAAAATAATGCTAAAATTTAAAAGATAGTATTATTAATTATAATATTAAAATCTAGACATTATAAGTAAAGTCCCATGAAATATAAAGAGCAATCCTAATACATACTTCAAATATAAATTACATATTTGAAATACATAACATATAAAAACTGACACACATAATATAAAACTTTATTAAAATAAAACATAAAATATAAACTAAACATATAACATTACATAAGATGGACAAGTAATTCTTAATAATCTGGTAGATCGGATCCAGAGTGTCCAATATCATTGAAATAATTACCAAAATTAGAAGCAGACCCTTGTTCTTGTTGATTTCTTTTTTGTATTATTTTAATCTGTTGAGCTCGAACGTACTCACGCACGTTTGGATCAGCAATGGAATTCAAATCTTTCATTATAAATTTCCATTCATCTTTATCTTTTTTCATGGCTATCTTTTCTCGTTCGATATCAAATGCTACTTGCATGTCCAAGCTCGCCTTGTCTAACATGTCTATAAGTCGGTTGTTATTTGTATCGATGGACTCCACTATACTTGACTCATGATCATTATTTTTCCTTTTCAATTTAGCTTTTTTTACCCCAATAGGTCGTTCAGATTGAGTAAATGATGACAGTCCAGGAGATGTTGATATAGGAGATTTCGAAGTAGGATTATCTGATTGTGACGAGTCAAAGTTCACACTTTGGGGTTGTCTTCGACCAACTTGTCTTGCTGTGGGGACATCATCTTTAAATTTTTTAAAATTTTTAACCATATTTCAGACATGATCAAATTTGAAACCTTTTTTTTACTTTGGTTCTTGCATAAATAACATCTTTGCTCGTACTAACTGCAAATTATAGTAAACATCAAGTTATGTATTTCAACAATAATAATAAATTTCAAACGATAATTAATAAAATACTTACAATATCTTCATCAGAAGCACCACTTGGATTTAGATTCTCTACTTGTCTTAAGCACGCATTCAATTTCCTTACTTCATTACTTATGATTTTCATTCGAGAACAAATTGATCGGCTCGTATGCACCTCAAAATACTGATCTCAAAGTTCATTGTATCTATCCTCCACACGAGACCAAAATGCATCTTGAGACTGGTTTCTACCAATAATAGGGTCTTGAGAAATATCCAAGAATACTTATGATCTTCAGTAACCGTGTATCCAGATGATCGAGCAGACATTTTTTTTTTTGTAAAAAGTGGTTGGTTTGGAGATTAGAAATACTTTGAAGAAATACTTTGAATTGGGTGGTTTGAAGTAGAATTCGTGCGGTTGGTTTGGAGATTAGAAATACTTTGAAGAAATACTTTGAATTGGGTGGTTTGAAGTAGAATTCGTGAATGTTATTTATAGCCAATCCAAACTTTGAAGAAATACTTTGAATTGGGTGGTTTGAAGTAGAATTCGTGAATGTTATTTATAGCCAATCCAAATTTTTTTTTTTTTTTGTTTGAATTTGAATTTATCGGTGGTCAACATTTAAAATTGAATCGTTGTGTACAAACTGATCAGCTTTACACATTGTCCAACATTGTCGGTAGGAATCATTTTTTGAAATCAGGTCAGCTTGACACATTGTCCAATGTATACACAGCTCAGCTTTCCTTGAATTGTGTGAAAGCTTTATACGAGTGAGAATCATTTTTTGAAATCAGGTCAGCTTGACACATTGTCCAACGTATACACAACTCAGCTTTTCTTGAATTGTGTGAAAGTTTTATACGAGTGGGAATCATTTTTTGAAATCAGGTCAGCTTTACACATTGTCCAACGTATACACAGCTCAACTTTCCTTGAATTGTGTGAAAGCTTTATACGAGTGAGAATCATTTTTTGAAATCAGGTCAGCTTGACACATTGTCCAACGTATACACAGCTCAGCTGTCCTTGAATTGGGTGAAAGTTTTATACGAGTGGGAATTATTTTCTGAAATCAGCTTAGCTTTACATATTGTCCAACGTATACACAGCTCAGCTTTCCTTGAATTGTGTGAAAGCTTTATACGAGTGGGAATTATTTTTTAAAATTAGCTCAGCTTTAGACATTGTCCAACGTATACAGCTAAGCAAATTTGAATTTTGTGAAAAATTGATAACAACTGGAAAGCATTTCCTGAAATCAGCTCAACTTTACACATTGTTCAATGGATACAGCTAAGCAAAGTTTTATAAATAGCATACTAGATTAGGTACATCCACACAAATACTCGTTGTTGTGTTAAAATTATTATTCTCCATTTCTGCATACTTCAGTCATTCTTTTCTTACTTCAAAAATAAATTTCGATGCTGGAGGTCTATCATATTTATCATCATCTTTATCTTCAAATGATGATAATTTTCTGTCTAATATCATTGCAGAGATTGATGAAACCGAAGAAGTAATTTGTGAGTACATCAACAACAACATGATCCTCGCTAATAATTTACATCAACAAAACTACCAACCGATCCATGGTGGCTCGATTCCCGGTCATGCAGTGATCAACCATGATCGAGAAACTATGCATCAGAATTTGGTCATAGATTACTTTGCCGATAATCCACGTTTTGGAGAAGATATGTTTTATCGTCGATATCGGATGTCAAGAAGTTTGTTCCTTCGTATTGTTGATGCGGTGAAAGATCATGACTATTACTTCCAACAACGAAGTGATAAACTTGGTAGAATGGAATTATCACCATTACAGAAAGTAACAGCTGTTTTTCGCATGTTGGTATACGGTCTACCAGCTGATGCTACAGACGAATACGTTAAAATAGGTGAGTCAACAGTAATTGAAAGTATGACAAAATTTTATCGTGCTATGGTAAAAATATTCACAGAGCGGTATCTACGAACACCTAACGCTAACAATATTGCTAGGCTACTCTATATTGGTAAAAAAAACATGGTTTTCTAGGAATGTTAGGAAGTCTTGATTGTATGCATTAAAAATAGAAAAATTATCCAACGGCATGGTCTGGACAATACGTAGGACGTAGTAGGTCACCAACTATTATCCTTAAAGCTATGGCAGATTATGATCTTTGGATATGGCACGCATATTTTGGTATGCCAGGCACTAATAATGATATCAATGTGCTAGAGTAATCTAATCTTTTCTCTAATCTAGCTCAAGGTATTGTTCCTCCCGCTCACTATAATATGGATTATTATTTAGCTAATGGTATATATCCAAAATAGGCTACTATTGTACAAACAATCTAATAGTCACAAGGTAGGAAGAAAAAATATTTTGTCATAAAACAGGAAGCATGTAGAAAAGATGTAGAACGTGCGTTCGGAGTTCTCCAATCACAATTTGCAATTGTGGCAGGATCAACACGTTTTTGGAAAAAACATGTATTACATGACATAATGACTGCATGCATTATTATACATAATATGATAATCGAGGATGAACATAACATTTATGCACCAATTCAAGAAGTGAGGGAAGCACCAACACCAGAAGTTAATATTGTAGCAGATGAAACTACAAGATTTACTCAATTTATTGCATGTTACAGACAAATCAAGGATAAAGATGCCCATATTGCGCTTCGTAATGCATTGATAGATCATTTATGAGAGGAATACAGTATTTTAGATAGTTAAGTGCATATTAAATTTGTAATTTTTACATTGTTGTTAATGTTTAATTATTTTCTTGTATTTTATTTTCTGTTGTGTTCTTAAATATAATATTTTAGTAATATCAATAATAAAAATATAATATTTTAGCAATCAAGTTATTTTAATTAATAAAATAATATTTTATTGTTTTATTAGTGTTTAGTGGAAAATTTGTAGTAAATAAAATGAAAGAAATTTGATTTGTATTCTCTCGATCTTAATTACAATTTGAATTCCGATTATAAAAGAAAGGAGAATTGATCTGAATTCTCCTATTTGTTTAAATCTTTTGTTTTTAGCGAAAGTTGACTCCATTATCGATTCCATTAAAACTTTTATGTGTTTACAGGAAATTACAATGAAAATAAATGAAAATACAACTCTCGAGAAAATAACACAGAAATTATTTATCAACTCCTGCTTTGTGGGACTTTGCCTGTGCCGGGAACGCTTTGGTTCGTGGACCGCCGAATCACAGATCGTGAAGAGGGTTTACTGATTCTGACTTCGTTTATCGAAGTGAGAACTTAAAACGATATCTTATCAAAGTAAGATAGTCGTTCTTCTTAAAATCAAGTCAAAGCTTAATTTCAAGGCGTTGCAAGAAAACTCAAATCTGCTCTCTCTGCTCTGGAATGCTCGAAAAAATGCTCGATCCTCGTCAGAAATGACCCTAGGGGGGTATTTATAGCCTCAAGGACTGTCTCGGCACGTGAGACAGTGTTTACTGTCTTGCCGTGCGAGACAGTGTATGTTGTCTCGGCCCACGAGATAGTAAATACTGTCTCGGAAAACGAATATTCCAGGCAGTTTTCGCTGTAACTGCCTTCCCACGTTTCAAACTCCGTTATTTTGGTAGTTATTCACGTGATTCTCGCCCACGATGTTCTCCACGTCCCTTGGCAGTTAATGGACACGTGGGTTTTCAACACTGTCTCGCTGGCGAGACAGCAAATACTGTCTCGCTGCGAGACAGTAAATACTGTCTCGCTGGCGAGACAGTTCATATCTGTCTTGATTTTTCTCTTAAGATATAGTATGAGGTGATTTTTGATGATCTTCTCTATGTTTGGATATCTATTAGCATTTTTTAACGCCTACAGATACCCCCTCCAAAGTATTCCAGACGTATTCTTTTGGTTGAGTAGATCGTGTGAAAGGACTTGTGAATGGCTTCAATGCTTGATCTCTGTTGCTTTTAGTCTATTCAGTTCTTTGTAGAATAGCTAATACTTCTCCGGCACTGCGTTTATCGCTCGACCGTTGTCGAGATCTTGAATCGAAGCTGGTATTTGTTCTTGTGGGATCAGCTTTTATCACTGAATTGATATATCCATTGAGAGCTCATCAGGTTATCCTTAAGAATATTCAGATTAATATTCTCCAGAAACTTTCTGTTGGGCATAGGGAAACAGTTTAGACTCGTGTACCCATGGGAGTATTCATTTATACTGCAACATCACAACGATCGTTGCCATCTTGCGATACGAGACAGTTCATATAGTCTCGCGGTGCGAAACAGTAAATACTGTCTCGCGGTGCGAGACAGTGTATGCTGTCTCGCTGTGCGAGACAGTGTATGCTGTCTCGCACGGCGAGACAGTGAAACCTGTCTCGCTCGGCGAAGTCGGGGTTATAAAACCCCGACTTAGGGTTTTCCAGCGACTTTCTACGTTGATTTTTGGGCGATTTTCTTGGACGATTTCTTCAGGATTTTCAGTGAGTTTTCGGCCTCTTTTTCTTCTCTTCGCCTTTGAGTGGAGTAGAGTTCTCGCTTTGGAGGGATTTCGTTCGAAGTTCGAAGGTTAGTTCTCTCTTTCTTTTTCAACATTTTGACATTCTTTGCCCTTTTTTCTTCATGCATGAGTATTCCCGTTGTATTTGTTCTATGTTTTGCTGATTTCATACTCAAAATCCTGACTTTTTCGTTGGGTTTCCTGGTAGATCATATACTCATCATTTCGCCACGTAGATCTCGCGCTCCCCGAAGCCGTCCGACTGTTCAGTCCCCCGAAGGGGCTGCCCCTGTTGCCGCTTCGCATGGGGGTACGTTTCTTTGCCGTCCGACTGTTCAGTCCCCCGAAGGGGCTGCCCCTGTTGCCGCTTCGCATGGGGGTACGTTTCTTTCACC